GAAGCAATGTATGCGAAGTGCTAGGCCCATCGTAAACACTCTAAATATGGTATCTTCCTATGAATTATTAGTTAAAAACTTCACAGCAGGGAAAAATACTGAACTCTTTGATTTAAATCAGTGCCTTTTCCCATATCCCATATTTATGCCTTTGTCATATTATGTCACAGCTAGCAGAGATGGTAGTCAGGCACTCTTGGTCTAAATAAATAAGTTCTCAGGAAATTTGATGCTTAATGAGGCAAAGAAGCTTGCCCCAGTCACACAGCTCATTAGTGTGAAATAGAAATCTCTTGTGTTAAATCACTGTATTTAAATATTCATTGTTATCAGGTTAATCCGATCATTTTCAAATATCAAAGACTTACATAATTAACTGTATCAGTTGTTGAGCTCTGAAGAGATCTAGAAAATTCTGTTTTTTCCCCTGCTTCTCCAAAATCACCTATTTTAGATTTGGGGAAGAAAAAAAAAGTGAACCATTTTCTTTGCCATTTAGTGCCCTTTTAGAGCTGTCTGTAATTGTTACATTTTCTGATACATTAAAATCCAAGTTATATTTTCTAAAGTGGCCAGAGCAGAATTTTTCTGATATGAGGCACTGAGAACACAGCTAATAATAGTCCTTTAGGAAATTTCTGACTTACAAAACAAGCAGCACAAATGGCCAAGGAAAACAAACAAGGGGGCTCTTCTAAAATCCAGGGATATTTCTTCCCTCATGTTAGCAACAGTCGGCAAGCAGTCTGGCTGTATTCAGGAAAAGTTCTCTTAATTAACCAGCCCATCCTCATTTGTTTCTTCCGCTTTGGGAATTCACCCGAGTTGGCTCATTTTGAAGAAATTCCCATTAGTTAGTTTTTAGGTCCCCAAGCAGAAAGCGGAAGCTGCAAGATAAGGTGCTGCCAAATAGGAAGCAAAAAGCACATTAAACATTTAAGTCTCAGATCATCCTGGAAGCTCAAGGAGAGTCAGTGAAATTACAAACTCCTCTGGAATCAGAAGAGAAAAGAGAATAAATTAATATATACATATTTGTGTTAATTCTTTAACAGCTATTCTCTCTCTCTTTTTGGTAAAAATTCTTACACATTCACTTTCCATGTTTAAGAATTCAAAGGACTACTCACCCTAAATTTTCCTTGTATTTTTCAACACTTTACAAGTGGGGTTCTAGCCTTCCAGTTCCAAAGAGAGATGTCATAATTATAGTAAAATTTTGATCAAAATTCTGATACCTATAGCTGAGCACCAACCATAGGGTCTTACTAGTGTTTTCTCCAAGTCAGTTGGCCCTAGGCCAATATATCTCAAAGTGTGATGGGATCTGGTCATCTTACATGTTCTGTATTAGAATCACCTGAGATATTCATTTAACGCCCAAATTCCTGGGCTCCACCCAGACCTATTGAGTCAGATCCTCTGAGTATTGGAACTAAAGATGTGCATTTTAGGTGAGCTGTCCAGGTGATTCCTCTTCATATTAAAGTTTGAGAACCCTACACTTCCCCTTGGGTGTGGGAGAGCAGAGTGAGATAGAGCCCAGAGCTCCTACTCAACTCAGATATTACAAGATGTCTATAAATTCCACGTGAGTAAACATGGCTTTCTGGGAAATAAACTTAGAACCAGACACATTTTCATCAAATATATTTAGGTTTTGATGAAACAAAAATGCCATTCTCTACTGTGGTGATATACTAACGTTTTCTTTCACAATTTTGGGAATGCAAGAAATACCATGTTTGTATTTTGCAAATAGGGTTGAATCTTTATTGAGATTTCCTCCCTCTACCTAAGACTCTACAAAGGTAACTTAGATGTTAGCAGAGTAGAACTTTTTTTTTATGGGAGAGGGAAAACCAAGGCTTTCGAAACTAAGCACTCAGAGGTGAAATAAGTCTTCCCAGAGGTAAGGGAACAGACAGCCTCAGGAAGGCAGGAGGACACCCCTGCCCTGCTTCCCAGTCACATTCAGCCCTGAGGAACCAAAAATAACTTCACTCCTTGATAGATGCTTTTGCCACATGTGGTTATGGCCAGTGCTGCTTTCCACCAAACCCAATAACCTTCTGTCCACAGGGTAGCCTTGGTTAAAATTCTAACATTTGTCTTAGGGTCCCTAATCTTGGCTTTCTCTCTGTCTTCTACTCCCTTTGCCATAAAAGTGAGAATGAGTGGGCCTGGGCACAGAGTAAAAGTGGTTAAAGTCTTTGATGCCTGATTAAAGGGTGTGGAGGAGAGGACAAGGGACTTCCAGGAAAAGAGACAATAAAGACAGGAAAGGTGACACCTCCGAGATGAAATAGCCCTGGTGGCAGACACTAGGGTGTGCCTGTGTTTGCACCGTCTTCTTTCCGCTTTTCATTCTCATCCATGTAGGGGATGCTCCCCCCATGTAGGAAATTGCCAACAGGGTCCCTATGAGGCCAGCCTTGAAATCTGGCAGTCCAGTAACAGCCAGCTACGTCTTCAGAGCTAAAAGATTCAGTGGAGCTTCGAAGCACCCCTGAGCAGCTTGTTTCTTGGGGGGAAATTTTGGATTATTTGAAGAAGGGGATAATATTCAACATGCCCAGCTATTCCAATCTCACCCAATTTCCTCCTCAACTCCCCCTGATATTCCCCCTACCCCCGTAAAAAAAACAAGCAATTGCCTCTCATGAGACCCTGACAGGAAAATGCAGGTGAATAAGCTGTAGTCTGGCTGTAACCCCACTCCTACCCTGCGCAGGCCCACGGTCTCTCCATGAGACGAAAGTTGGGTCTGCCTATGGCATCTTCAGCAGCCCAGGCAGCCAGAAGGGAGTCCATCAGCTCCCAGTACCCATGTACCTGATTTGCAGTCCCAACCTCAGGGGCTGGGACATAGAAAATATTGTGAGAGAATGCAGATAATTGTAAGGGTGAGTGGATTTTGAATAACATACCTCTGGTTAAAACATGTATATCTATGATATATAAAAATATGTACATATTGTAAACCAAAAAGTAATTGTAGCATATCTCAATAGATTAGAGGTTTATTTTGTCACGGCTGAATATGTCCCCAGGAAAAAGAAACACAAGTCACTGTAAGATCTGTGACCTGTACTTTTTCCAGAGGGTTTTGGGAACTTCCATCTTTAGAGAGGAAAGACCAAGCAGGAGGGGAAGAAAAAAAATGAAAGATGGGTTGGCAATTAGGCAAGTATTTATTGTTGCAAGGCTCTGATGAACACTCAGTGAGTCTACATTTTACATGTAAAAAGAAGGGAGTAGAGAGAAATTATCCATTCATCTCGTGCTCAGTACACGATAAAGTAAGCATGTGAAATTACTGCTTTATACGATAAAGTAAGCATGTGAAATTACAGCTATTTGGGAACAAAAGGAAGAAGGGTTTTGCATGACTCATTTCCCAAGCTTAACTTTCCCTTTGGCATAGTGAATCTGGCATCTTGAGAGTCTATTTTTCTTTCATAATATTTTATATTTATATATATTTTATATATATATATAGTCTACATATAAGTTACTGTTACTCACTTATCTCTTCCTCTCCTTATTTGTCTTATTGTTCCAATGTTGGATTCTCTCCCTGAAGCTCTCTCAATGTAAATTTAGAATAATCATTTTGCCCTTTCGCAGTAGAGAAAATTTGCTTTTGAATCAGAAACTTGTGGGAAGTGTGGCTTAGGGCTCAACGTGACCTATGCATGGCTCTGCTTGCCTTGCTTGTTTTTTCCTTTGTCCACTTTCTCCCTACACACTGGGGACCCAGGGTCTGTTCTCACTGCATCCTCTCCCTACTGCTCGCAGCCCCCATGTCTCAGAACCCATGACACAGCCTTCTCAGTGGAGAGCTGTGATGGTCAAGGAGGTCTCAGGAAGAAGGCATAAAGAGTCCAGGAAACTTGGCTAGAACAGGGAATCTCAGGGTATTAAAACAGAAGAATCATGGTTTGGAGTAGCAGTTCAGGGAGTGGGCTCTGGATGTTAACTGCCTGGGTTCCCACCCTTAGCTCGGCGCTTTTGAATGAGATGAAATCCCAGTTGCTCAATTTCCTCATCTGTAAAATGGGGATATGTTGTATATACAATCACGCAGAAGAAATGTCAAAATGAAGAGCAGAAATATATGATACCACATACATCTCCTTCTGTTGCATTTGGAGACAAGTTTTCCTTCCTTCCTTCCTTCCTTCCTTCCCTCCTTCCCTCCTTCCCTCCTTCCCTTCTTCCTTCCTTCCTTCCCTCCCTCCTTCCTTCCTTCTTGCTCTTTCTCTCTTTCTTTCTGATGGAGTCTTGCTGTCACCCAAGCTGGAGTGCAATGGTGCTATTTCAGCTCACTGCAACCTCCGCCTCCTGGGTTCAAGCGATTCTTCTGTCTCAGCCTCCCCAGTAGCTGGGATTACAGGCACACACCACTATGCCCTGGCTAATTTTTGTATTTTTAGTAGAGATGGGGTTTTATCATGTTGGCTAGGCTGGTCTTGAATTCCTGACCTCAGATGATCTGCCCTCCTTGGCCTCCCAAAGTGCTGGGATTACAGGCCTGAGCCACCACACCCGACCTAAAGACAAGTTTCTTTAAATTGTATTCTTGTTACTATAAAGGTGAAAAAAAGGAAAATTGAAAAAATTAGAAAAATCCTGAAAATAATAATGAAGGATATAAAAAGTATCCCAAGTCTGCCATCCAGAGATAGTCATTGTTAAATATTGTGGAAGAGTTTTTACTGTTTGCACATTTACATTTAAAAAATTTTAAACAAAATTTGGACCAATTACATATGTATACATAGTTTTTCTTTTTTTTACTGAACAAACCATGAACCTTTCCCAGATATAAACATCTATTTCCCATTTTAATTATTTTTTTAAAATAGGGCATTATTTTAAACATTTGAGTGGTAGATATTATTTTTAGATAATATTTTAATTTAGGCATAACTGCTATGCAAAATCTGAAGATTAATATCTACCTTCTGATTTATTCCTGTGTCAGTATGTTAAACTGGCAGGTGTAAAAGAAAGAAAAAATGAGTAGTGATTGGTTATTGACAGCTATGAATGGGAAATTGAAGGTAGTGGACTGTGGGTGACAAATGTATTGTTGTAATTATTACCACAACTACATGGGGGACACTACTAACAAGCAAAGTTTTACAACTTTTTAAAGACATAGACTTTATGTTCTGAGAATTAAAAATCATACATTTGTGTCATATTAATGAAATTGCATATGAAATATAAAGGCATGGACAAAGGTGAAGTAGCTTCAAGAGACAGAGTTCTGACATCATTGTAATTTTAAGGATCGTGGATATTCCCGGGAAAGTTTTTGGTTGCCATTGGGAATTTCCTCTTTACTGGATTTGGACAATATCCTCCTATTATTCACAGGAAGCAATCCCTCCTATAAAAGGGCCTCAGCCGCAGTAGTGTTCAGCTGTTCTTGGCTGACTTCACATCAAAACTACTATACTGACCTGAGGCAGAGGCAGCAGTGATACCCATCTGAGAGATCCTGTGTTTGAACAACTGCTTCACAAAACGGTCAGTGCAGAATGCTTTACAAGGGCAGCCTTGGGCCATGAAACATAGAAATGCAAAAGGCCTTCTAATAGAAATCACATCTGTACAAGCTTATTGTATTGTAGCTAAAACCTCTCTTTTCTCTTTGACCAAAAAGATGAAAATATTAAATTTTGTATTATTTCTTTAATTAAACTCTGAAACAAAGATTATGGCACTGAAATCCTTTACCCAAAATCTTAGGATGCTGCCTTAAATATCATGGTAGAATAATGTAACTGGCTGCCCAGGATTTCCTTCTCTAATTCATTTTGTATTTTTTTCTCCCCAGGAAAGTATTTCAAGCCTAAACCTTTGGGCAAAAAGAACTCTTGAAGTCATGATCGCTTCACAGTTTCTCTCAGCTCTCACTCTCGGTAAGTCAGTGTCATTAGACCAGGATTTCTCATCCTCGCACTACAGATATTTCAGACTGAAAATATCCTTCCTTGGCTGGGGCTGTCCTGTGCAGGATATATGGCAGCATTCCTGACCTCTGCCTGCCCAGGGCTCAGGGCTATTTTCATTACCTCTTAGTGTCTCTCTTTCCTTAAGTGTAAAGTGTGGATCATAAATGACTTATTTTCCAGATGCTTTGTGAGGATTCAATAGCATGCTTCTTAGACAGTACCTCAAACAGTGCTTCATGGTGCATACTAAGTGCTCGATAAAAAAATTAGTAGTTGTTTCTTCATACGTACCTCTTCCTTTTGAAAAGGTGAAAAAATTCTGGGCCATGCCACAAACATTTTGGCCCACAGTAGGTCAAAAATAAGACAATAAGAAGCACAGGTATCAGAGTTAAACCACAACAGCACCAAACTCTACCATTTCTTTTCTTTTTCTCCCACTAGTGCTTCTCATTAAAGAGAGTGGAGCCTGGTCTTACAACACCTCCACGGAAACTATGACTTACGATGAGGCAAGTGCTTATTGTCAGCAAAGGTACACACATCTAGTTGCAATTCAAAACAAAGAAGAGATTGAGTACCTAAACTCCATATTGAGCTATTCACCAAGTTATTACTGGATTGGAATCAGAAAAGTCAACAATGTGTGGGTCTGGGTAGGAACCCAGAAACCTTTGACAGAAGCAGCCAGGAACTGGGCTCCAGGTGAACCCAACAATAAGCAAAACGATGAGGACTGCGTGGAAATCTACATCAAGAGAGACAAAGACATGGGCATGTGGAATGATGAGAGGTGCAGCAAGAAGAAGCTGGCCCTGTGCTACACAGGTAGGGAGTTTGCAGCAGCAGTGGGAGGTAGTTTCAGTGTGTGCGCGTCTTGGCAAATTTACAGCATGCCAAAATTGCTCTCTATTGTGGTAATTTTATGTTCTAAAAGATTCTGTTTAACTGCTAAAGTTTCTCTCTTTCACTGCTTTGTGTGAATGTGAGCAAGAATGTGTATATATAATGTATATAAATACTGTAGGCATATATGTAGTTCTTTGCATGTAAAAATACACACACTACATATTTTAGTTACTTGTTTATTTGTGGTAGGGGACCTGTCTTCAGAGTTTGTGAAGAAGTGAATTTTCCATTGTACATGCCAGCCACAGTCATACTCCCAACATCTGTACATTAGCAACAAAGTTTAAGATAAGTGGGCCTGAAACTCCGATTTGGCACTTTGTAGAACACTTCAGTTAAGATTTGTGGAACTCTGTAGCATTGCTGATGTCTCTGTTGCACACTGTTGATTCTAAATTCAAAGGCACTCGGAATAACCACAGTAATCGTCCTCATCATGCTTTGTGTTTTGCGCAGCTGCCTGCACCAATACATCCTGCAGTGTCCACGGTGAATGTGTAGAGACCATCAATAATTACACTTGCAAGTGCGCTCCTGGGTTCAGTGGACTCAAGTGTGAGCAAGGTAAGCCTGGTTCTCACCTGCTCCTTCACTTGAGATGGTAGCACCATCTCACATCCTTGCTGGCTTCAGAGTTAGGTCTGCATGCCTTTCCTTCTCTGGTGCAGACGGTGTCATTTGGTGATTGTGAGCTGAAACTATTAAGTCAGATGCTTCTGGGTTTGAGTCCTAGATTCACCAGTTATTTATTACAGCATCTTGAGAAGATAATTTATCTCTTTAGGCCACAGTTTTCTCGTTGTAAAATGGGCATAATTATAGTGTGAACTTCATAGGCTCATGGTTACATAGTGCCTGGCACACAGGACACATTCAATAAACTGTAGTTTTGTGTCTCTGCAAGGAGCAGGTACTCACTTCATCTAGGTGGTAACAAGACATTGCAGTGGAAATGAGTGAGTTACAGAGTCCAGGGCATCTTTGTTCATGCTCTGGCTCTATAATGACTAGCTGTGTAGCATGGAGTTAGTCACTTGAATGAAATGAGTTCTCGGTTTCTAAATCTGTAAATTAAGAGTTAGATTAGCTTCTCTCCAAGGTCCCTTCACACAGTGTTGTGCAATAGAGCTTTTCGTGATGATGGAAATGTTCCATAGCTGTGCTGTCCAGTGTGTAACTGTGAGCCACACGTGGTTATTGAGTACCTGAAATGTAGCTGGTGACATTGAGGAACTGAATTTTAAATGTCATTTAATTTCAACAAATTCAAGTTTAATTTGAGTAGCCACAAATAGATAGTGGCTAATATATTAGACAGTGCAGCATGAGAGTTTTTAAAATTCATAATGTACTCTAGTACTTAAACTTGAAATATACCTTCGTGGATGGTTCTTACCCTGGGTGGAAGCTTACTGTAGTATTTTTGGCAGTTGTGAGAAAAGTAACCAGAAATTTGTTGCAGCAACTAAGTTTGCTGTTTTTGTTTGTTTATATAATTTGATCAGTTTTGAGAAAAACACAATTACACTACTCTCCCTGTATCACTGAATATTTCTTTTTTTGTGGTTGTGGTTGTGGTTTTTTGTTCTTTTTGTGGATCAATATTTTCTTGACTAAAAGAAAAAGGGTAGAATTACAGTCAATTTTACATATTCCATTAAAAATTTTATAAGTTTTTAAATTGAAAAAAACCCTGTAGTTGTAGCTTCTAGTGTTCTTAACTGCGTAAGGTAAGAGATGAGCAGAGCTGATTTGGGTTTCTGTTTCAGTTGTGAACTGTACAGCCCCGGAATCCCCTGAGCATGGAAGCTTGGTTTGCAGTCACCCACTGGGAAACTTCAGCTACAATTCTTCCTGCTCTGTCAGCTGTGATAGGGGCTACCTGCCAAGCAGCATGGAGACCACACAGTGTATGTCCTCTGGAGAATGGAGTGCTCCTATTCCAGCCTGCAATGGTAAATCCCTCTCAGAATGCACAGAATATTCTCCAAGTCATCCCTTATTGCTTCTGTTTTTTAATCCAACTTATAACATTTTCAAAACTTCAGGAAAGTTCTCTTTTTCTGTCTTCATTTTTAATACAACGTATTCTCTTAGCCAATGTATATGGCTAACCTAGTACCTGCTTGGGTTGAGAGAAATTTTTATTCTATGTTTGGAGTGGGTGTTTCTGGGGTTCTGGTAATTCGTAAAGGAGACCATAAAACAGTAAAGCTCTAGAACTCTCAATGACTTTCTCATCTTGTTTCCCTGTTTAGCTTTTCCATGCTATGGGACTAACTTAAGACCATGATAATCAAGCAGTCTCAGTATCTCTTTTTCTCTTTCAATTTTATCTTTCTGAACCAGAGGCCAAAAAAGAAAAAATCAGTTCTTCAGGTTCCGATAGGCTAAAATAAATGAATGGCCAATGTATGTCAGTACTAGTCATAACTACCAGTCAAGAATCTTTTTTTTTTTTTTTTTAAATTTTTACCTCATGTAAAGGTTAGAGACCACTCAGCATAGGCAAAGTGAAAATTAATCAGAGAAGATAGAAATATCCATGAAAAAGAATAAAAGCTTTTATTCTGGCTGTGTATATCCCTAAGAATTGACACAGGACTTTGGGTTCTACCCTTTGAAGGCAGCTTCCTCACTCTGTTATACATCCAGCTTAAAAGGAAGTGAAGATATCATTCTTCTGTAAAATTCATGGTGCTCTTTCAAATCCCCAGTGGTTGAGTGTGATGCTTTGACAAATCCTGCCAATGGGTTTGTGGAATGTTTCCAAAGTCCTGGAAGCTTCCCATGGAACACAACCTGTACATTTGACTGTGAAGAAGGATTTGAACTAATGGGAGCCCCGAGCCTTCGGTGTACCTCATCTGGGAATTGGGACAATGAGAAGCCAATGTGTAAAGGTAAAGTTGCTCCACATGGAGACTTACTGTTAACATTCATTTTCCCAATACTGAAAATGGGTAAACTAATTCCATGCCCTGCCAAACCAATTCTATGGACACATTTGTTACAGCTGTGACATGCAGGGCTATCCCCGAGCCTCAGAATGGCTCTGTGACGTGCAGCCATTCCCCTGCTGGAGAGTTCACCTTCGACTCTTCCTGCAACTTCACCTGTGAGGAAGGCTTCATGCTGCAGGGTCCAGCCCAGGTTGAATGCACCACTCAAGGGACATGGACACCGCAAATCCCAGTTTGTGAAGGTAAGTTTGAGGTCCTTTTGATTTATACTTTCTTAAAGAGCAATCATCTTCAAACTTGACAGTGAAAAAAACTCAATACCCACTTTAACTATTGAAATAAGATTTGATGAGCAACACTCATATCTCTGAGATTCATTTAAAATAACTAGTTTGGCCAGGGAAAGGATCATATGTATTAAGAATGAATGCTTTGCTGCTTTTTGAACTGTGATGTGCTAATATAACTTTATAGACATTAGCATAGAGTAGACAGAATTCTTAATCTGAAGGAATCATATTAGAAAATTCAGAAAGCAGAATAATGAGAACATGATTTGAATCTAAAACTCTCATCACACCTTTCTCCTGAAATGGCTCACAATTAGCAGTGATGAGACTGTTTCAAGCATGGTGTCAGTTACAGCAATAGTATTGATACATACATAAGCAGTGCACTTTAATTCACTTTAAGAGCAAGGATATTGAAAACAAGCAGTTTTTACCATCAGGCACTGGCTTTCTCCTAGCCAAAGCCAGCACAGAATGATTTCCAGTAGCAAAATCTTATAACACAAAAACCAAACTGCAAAGCAGATAAATTTTTATAGGGGTGCTTTCTTCTCTTTCTTTCTTTTTGGCACCAATCTATAAACATCCATGACCCATATGTTGTCCTCAGACTGTGTGAAATCATTCCCTTGACCATAACTTCTTTTGCATGTTAGATAACAGTGCCCAGGAACTAATGTCCCTGTTAATTAGTCTTTTAATTAGTGCCATGATCAGTGAGGGGGTTGAAATTCAAAAAAAAAAAAATACACCCATCTTCCCATTTGTCCAGAGAGTTATAAAGACCTTCAGTTATCCAAGTGTTGCTCGAATGAACAGGGTTCACTCAACAAATGCCAAGTACTCTCTAGTTCCACTGCAATATTTTCTGACCATCATTTTGATGTCTCAGCTTTCCAGTGCACGGTCTTGTCCAGCCCTGCGCGAGGCCACATGAATTGTCTTCCTAGTGCTTCTGGCAGTTTCCAGAATGGATCCAGCTGTGAGTTCTCCTGTGAGCAGGGATTTGTGTTGAAGGGCTCCAAAAGGCTCCAGTGTGGCCCCACAGGGGAGTGGGACAACGAGAAGCCCACATGTGAAGGTATGGTCTTTGTTTTTATTTTATTTTAAGATAAAAACTATTGAAGAGCTTAGGAACTTGGTTATCTTGGGAAACCAGAGATGCAAATAAACTTCTAAAGTGCTCTCTCATGTGTTCCAGCTGTGAGATGTGATGCTGTTCGCCAGCTCCCGAGGGGCATGGTGAGGTGTGCTCATTCTCCCCTTGGAGAATTCACCTACAAGTCCTCTTGTGCCTTCAGCTGTGAGGAGGGATTTGAATTACATGGATCAACTCGACTCGAGTGCACATCTCAGGGACAATGGACACAAGAGGTTCCTTCCTGCCAAGGTAGAGTTGAGTGCAGACTTTTTTAGGGTACAGGTCAAATACCTCATAAATTTCTGAACCTAGATTGCCCCAAGGGGGTTTGATCCTAATTTCCTACATGCCAAAAATGTAGTGCTTATACATTACATTTAATGTTGACTTTTAAGTGAGTTTTATAAGTTTTCCAGTAGATTTTTCTGAAACTCTACCTGTGTACCTAACATTTGCAGTGGTGAAATGTTCAAGCCTGGCAGTTCCGGGAAAGATCAACATGAGCTGCAGTGGGGAGCCTGTGTTTGGCACTGTGTGCAAGTTCGCATGTCCTGAAGGATGGACGCTCAATGGCTCAGCAGCTCTGACGTGTGGTGCCACAGGACACTGGTCTGGGATGCTGCCTGCCTGTGAAGGTGATGCATTGACTGATGGTGGTTGTCTGGGGCATTAAAGAGAAAAAGGGGCAGCTATCTTGTTACAGTAATCAACTCTCCATTATATCCAAGCCAGAAAGTTTGCCCAGGTTAACAAATTATGCATATTAAATTTTATGAGGTTAGATAGAGAAAAAACAGAAGTTGCATGTTGATGGAATGGATAGAATTCTGATGACCGGAAAAAGGAGACATAGAGAGGAAAGGAGAAAGGGGAAATGGAAAATAAGAGGGAGTGAGAGCAAGAGAGCACCAAGTGCAGTGTTTATTAACCAAGCGCGATATGGTATTGTGAACAAGCTTGGCAAGTTAGCCTGCCGGTGGTGGAAGCTATGGTGGAAATAACTTGGAAGGTGGCTTGGAGCAAATCTCAAAGGCCTTTAATGCCACATCTCTGCTTCTTATATTAAACTACATAGCTCTGTTGCTGCTAGTAATCGGTGTACAGAAAAAAGGCCAAATGGACAGGACAGAGAGACTTTAACATCAGTTCCTTCTCATGCCATTTCCTCCTCTCTTGTTTTTTTAGCTCCCACCGAGTCCAACATTCCCTTGGCAGCTGGACTTTCTGCCGCTGGAGTCTCTCTCCTAACATTAGTACCATTTCTCCTCTGGCTTCGGAAATTCCTTCGAAAAGGTGAGGACGTTTATGGATACACTTCAGAAATGTTTTTTAAAGTACATTTCTTTCTCATTGATAAGCCATGGTCTTGCTTACAAATTTGAACAATAATTAGAATCTGGATAAACACTAATAAATGCAGTATAATTAAGCAGAAGTATTAGGAAAAGAGTTAGTAGTACAACTCAGTATGGGAAGAGTTTTAGGAAATAGAAATGTTAGTTGTGCCTAATATTGTACAACTCCAGGGGGTGCTATTCATATTGAATTATATGATGCCTCCAGGAGTTGTGCAATGAGACTGCCATCATGAGCGCTTTAAGGAAAATGGATAAAATCCTTCCTAAGGAGATTTATTTGGAGTATAGCCTTAAATTTGGGAGTATCTCTTAAGGAATATGCAAGCACATCTGACTACACTTTTAAACATGGCTTACATGTTTAAAAGTACTTAAAACATTTTTGAGTTAAGTTCTGACATTTGCAAAATAGGAAATCTCACATTTAAATTCAGATTTTGGACTTCTCATGAAAAATTGGGAGCTGAATCAGGCAAGATAACCCTGTAGCTATTTGCCGGCTTTAGGAAGCTGCTATGCCCTTCGGATGGGTGTGCACTTTGCATTTTACCCTAGAGGACAGGAGCCATGCTTGTGCTCTGATTATTGCAGAGGCCCTGAGGCATTGAGTTTGTAACCCTTAATGAATTAAGTCATATTGTATCTGGACTTAACGTATCTTTAACATGATGTACTTTGAATTAATGATTTTTGTTTTTTCTTTTGCAGCAAAGAAATTTGTTCCTGCCAGGTAAGTTGCATTCTTATACAAAGCATGCCATTGAACATTCCACACATTTTTCTCTCTTCATGTTGGAAGACAGTGCTTTACCTAGTGTTCTCATGTATTCCACAGCAGCTGCCAAAGCCTTGAATCAGATGGAAGCTACCAAAAGCCTTCTTACATCCTTTAAGTTCAAAAGAATCAGGTAAGACTTGTAAATTACAGATGGTTATGAGAGAGGCGTCTTTTCTACAGGCTCTGTTTCTCCTTGAACCTTCCAAACTTGCCAATATTTCAGGGAGGAGGTGGGGGAGAAATCGTCACCTCAGGGTATTGCCTCAGGGCCTCTGCAATAATCAGAGCACAAGCATGGCTCCTGGCCTTTAGGGTAAAATGCAAAGTGCACACCCATCCGAAGGGCATAGCAGCTTCCTAAAGCTGGCAAATAGCTACGGGGTTATCTTGCCTGATTCAGCTCCCAATTTTTCATGAGAAGTCCAAAATCTGAATTTAAATGTGAAATTACAGTGTAATTTCATTTATGACAGATAATAATAATGAAGGTAGCTGACCCTTACATAGCACTTACTATATTCTAGGAACTTTTCTAAGCTAGGAACTCTGAGATAGGGGCTGTTACTATATTTCTTTTCTCTTTTTTTTTTTTTTAATACTGAGATGGAATCTCACTCTGTTGTCCAGGCTGGAGTGCAGTGGTGCAATCTTGGCTCACTACAACCTCTGCCTCCTGGGTTTAAGCGATTCTCCTGCCTCAGCTTCCCGAGTAGCTGGGATTACAGGTGCCTGCCACCACACTCAGCTATTTTTTGTATTTTTAGTAGAGACGGGGTTTTGTCATGTTGACCAGGCCGGTCTTGAACTCCTGACCTCACTGATCGGCCCACCTTGGCCTTGCAAAGCGCTAAGATTATAGGCATAAGCCACTGGGCCCAGCCTGTTAGTATATTTGCAATCACACAAATAAAGAAAATGAGACAGAGAGAAGTTAAGTAAATTGCCTGAAATCTCCAAGCTAGTAAGCGGTATAGCCAGGATCCAAACCCAGGCAGTCTGGTTCTAGAATTTGTGTTCTTAACCACTCTGACCTGCTTTGTAAGAATTTGGAAGGGTCAAGTCCTTCTGAATACTTTTTAAAAAATTAAAAGAACCTTTTTTTGTGTGTGTGCAGTTTTAAGTTTATAGAAAAATTGAGCAGAAAATACAGAGTTTCAACATATCTCCTCACCACCCCCTCCAGTTTCCCCTGTTATTAACATTTTTTATTAGTGTTACAACTGATAGGCCAATATTGATACATTACTATTTATTAATGTCCACAAGCTACATTAGGATTCATTCTGTGTTCTATATTCTGTAGGTTTTGGCAGATGTATAATACGTATCCATCATCACTGAATAGAATTTGATGTTCCTACATGCACTATCTTAGTGAGAATGTATACAGAATATTAAGTGTTCTGATGACATGCATGCTTGTATTTGCAGAAATACAGGTGCATCTGGAGAACTAGAGGGATACACTGAAGACAACAGAGACAGAGAACTCTCCCCGGGTCTCTGGCCCTTCTTGCCTGCTATACCACATGCCTTTATGGGTGAAACCGCAACACCCACCACCACTTCAGTGGATCAAAGTCCAGTGGGCAAGGCCAGCCTTTGACTGAATGGACTCAGTGTTCTCTTTCCTACTCTCAGGGTCAAGAAAGTGTTGGCTGATGAAAGGAAAGGACATTTTCTTCCAAGCAAAGGCGAAGAGACCACGACTGTGAAATCTCAGAATTCCTTTTCTAACTCCCCCTTGCTTGCTGTGAAATCTTGGTATAGAAACACAACATTTTATGGCTTTGTTTCTTTCTTTTGCCCTTCACAGTGTTTCAAAAGCTGATTCCACAGTTGCTGTCATAAGAATGAATAATAATTATCAAGAGTTCAGAGGAAAAAATGGCTAAAAATATTCTATTTCTAACTTGAAAAAATGACAGATTTTGAATGCACATAGGCCAATGCATGGAGGGTTGTTAACGGTGCAAATCCTACTCAACGCTCCGTGGGTTACTATGCACAATTTAATCACTTTCATCCCTATGGGATTCAGTGCTTCTTAAAGAGTTCTTAAAGATTGTGATCTTTTTTACTTGCATTGAATATATTATAATCTTCCATAGTTCTTTATTCAATACAAGTGGTGTAGGGACTTAAAAAACTTGTAAATATGTAAATTTATAAACTGTTATGGGTAAAAGTTACTTATCCTAGATTACCCCCTCTTTGTTTGTTAACAAATTATGTTACATCTCTTATAAATTTATTTCAAAAAGGGAAACACTTGTCCCTAGCAAGGCATGATGTTAATCAGTGTAAAGTTCTGAGTGTTTTTACTACAGTTGGTTTTTAAAAACATGGTGATATCAGAGAGTAAAAACTGAATGGAACGTTTGTATTTTGTCAGGTATCTTTTTCAGAAATGTGTGGTTTCCATGATGAAAAACTTCCATGAGGTCAAATGTTTTGATCTAATAAAGGCATAAATGCAAATGCACGAAGGTACAATTTTCTGAATGTCTTTGTTGGAAAAGAATGCAGAGGATGGATGTGCTTTGCATTCCTACAAAGATGTTTGTCAGATGTAATATGTAAACATAATCCTTGTATATTATGGAAGATTTAAAATTCATGATAGAAACTCACCATATAAAAGAGTCATCTAGTAGACTTTTAAAGAATGAAGATGGCTAATAGTTATTCCCTATTTGTTTTCTTCTGTATGTTAGGGTGCTCTGGAAGGGAGGAAAGCCTGTATGAGCAAGCATTTGTGTTTATTTATAAGCAGATTAAAAAATCCCAAAGGAAATGTCCAGTTTTCGGTTGATCACTGGCAATGAGAAATTCTCGGTTAGTAATTGTCAAAGCTGCTCTAGCCTTGCGGAGTGTGAGAATCAAAACTCTTCTGCACTTCCATTAACTTAGCATGTGTTGAAAAAGAAAGTTTCAGAGAAGTTCTGGCTGAACACTGGCAATGACAAAGCCAGCAGTCAAAAGGGCGATGTCATAAGGATCAGAACAGCCCCTTTTTAAGGAGCAGAAAAACTCCGGGAAATAACAGAGAACAACTACTGTGATCAGGCTATGTGTGGAATGAATTGTTTCTTTCTTTGAAATTGTTTGTGTTGTAAATATTTATGTAAACTGCATTAGAAATTAGCTGTGTGAAATACCGATGTGGTTTGTGTTTGAGTTTTACTGAAAATTTTAAATTATAACTTAAAATATTTTATAATTTTTAAAGTATGTATTTATTTAAGCTTATGTCAGACCTATTTGACATGACACTATCTGACAATAAAAATGTTTATATTTATCTCTGTGTTAAGGCTCTTTCTTAAAAATTGTATTTAGATAAAACTCACATACCATAAACTTCACCCTTTAAAAATGTATTGTGCAACTATTACCACTGTTTAACTCCAGAAGATTTCTATCACCCTGAAAAAACATTATTTCTTGATTATCTGTGAGGATATTTCTGAAGAGATTAGCATTTAATTGGTAGACTAAAAAGACTGTCTTCACCAATGTGGGTGGCCATCATCCAACCCATTGAAGACCTGTGTAGAGCAAAAAGTTAGAGGCAGAGTGAATTCACTCTCTGTTTAAGCTGGGACCCCCATCTTCTCCTGCCCTCCAACACTGGCACTCTTGGTTCTAGAACCTTTGGACTTTGAAGTGTTCCACTGCCTTTCCTGGTTCTCAGCTTGTAGACAGCAGGCCACAGGACTTCTCAGCTTCCATAATTGTGTGACACAATTTCTATAAAAAATACCAGCCCTCACCCCCAATACACACACATACACACACACACACACACACACACACACACACACACACACACACACTGTTGGTTCTGTTTCTTTGGAGAAGTCCAACTAATACATGTCCCTTCATGAGAATTGGCTACTTAGACTAGGTCTCCTCTTTAACTCATATTTGTCTTCCTTCCTTTAATTGTGATAAATAATTACTTGTGTAATTGTTTGTTTAGTGTCTGTCTTCCCCACTAAACTCTAAGTTTCTTAGGGGTAGGGAAAAATTAACTTGTTCGTTGCTGTATTTCCAGAACCTAGTGCATTCCTGATGCAGAGTGGATATCCAACAAATATTAATTAAATGAGTAAATCAATGCATGGATGAATGAATGCATATTTTTGCTCATCATAAAAAGTAGAATAATTTTTCAATAAATGGAATGAGTTGTCTCAGTAGGCTAGAGTTTAAAACCCAGTTATGTATCAACTGCCCCCCTCTACTGCCAGTTTGCAATTTAATATCTCCATCTCTCAAAAGTCCAGCAATTATTTCAATCCCCAAATACAGAAATGGGGCTTGTAGGAATCATTGTAAGGGCTAAGGATTAATAGAAATAGAAGGGAAAAATTTTTTTAAAAAAGGGAGGTGGAAAAATAGCACAAGAGGAAGTAATAAGAGAGAAAAAGAAAAGATATTAAAAGAAAAAAAAATATTGAGGTACACAGAGTAAACAGTACAGATGCTACAGAAGGGAAAGATCTAGTTTTGTGTTCACTCAGCTGGGAGCTTAAAACATGCACACAAACATACATGCTCATGTGCACACAGATACCCACACACAGATATATTCCTAAACCATAACCTACAGGTAATTTACCTTGATGTTAATGAAAATTAAGCTTCAGGGTCCACTACTTAGATGAACCTTTACATTACAAGGGCCTTGGTCCTAGAAATGTGTTTACATAGCAATACATCTTTGTAAAATCTATAAAAGCAAGACATTTTTACATTCCTTTTCTCAAAAAAAGACCTCAAATTGTACAAACCTTGGGCTCTAAAAAAATCCTGAATCTGTTCCTGAACCAACCCAAAATATTGTGATTCGGTAGGATTGGAAGCGAATGTTGTGTGTATTTTTTTTTAAATGTTACCAAGTGATCTGGATGCACAACGAGTTTTGGAAATTACTGAAAAAGGACTATAGATTGATTAGTTTAATGAGTCCTTGATGTCTATGTGGTATTTCTGGAGTTTTGCCACCATTGATTGGCTCATATGCCATATAACACTGTGTAGTTTGGGAAAAGTGGACAATGTGTAACATTCACTTACATATTGCAGTGATGATCACATCCACCTCTGTGTTGAATAATTAGCCATTCGTCTGTATGTACTGGCTATAGCAATATAGTTCTTTTCAACAAGAAATAAAGGGAATTTGGACACGACATTCACAGTTGTAAATATCAAGAAAATAGAGTAAATTTGTTTAACAAAAATCTGGTTATGGAAGCAAGATATATCTGCCAACAGGGTAACTGTTCCATGGGTTCATTTTGCTTGCTGCCCAGATAAAGCTGATTTATCGAGACAGGAATTGCAATAGAGAAAGAATTTAATTCATGCAGAGCCAGCTGAATGAGAGACTGGAGTTTTGTTATTACTGAAATCAGCCTTCCCCAAAATTCTAAGGCCAGGAATTTTCAAGGATAGTTTGGCAAGCACGGGAATGGGTGCTGTTGATTGGTTGGGGATCCAATCATAGGGGTGTGGAAAATGGTCCTTGTGCATGCTAAGTCTTTCTGGGTGGGGCCACAGGAATCTGAAAAGATATCTCAAAAGGCCACTCAGGTTCTATGATAGTGCTGTTATCTGCAGGAGTAATTGGGGATATTGTGAATCTTGTGTCCTCTGGAATAATGGTAATTGTTTACATCTATACCTTAGCAAAATTCAGGCTCCTCTCATTCTCCTAACCTTTCATTAGTGGTCTTTTATTACCTTTACAAAGGCAGTTTGGTTTTGGAGAAAAGCTAAACTATAAACTAAATTTCTGCCAAAGTTAGCTTGGCCCAAGCCCAGGAACGATTAAGGGCAATCTGGAAGTTAACGGCAAGATGGGGGTTGGTTAGATAAGATCTCTTTCACTATCATAATTTTCTATTATAATTTTCGTGAAGGCAGTTTTAATGGTGCAGCATAGACTGGGAGTAAATAAGGAGAAAACTGATGGTTTGAAATAAGGAAATGTTTAATGGTTGGGAGGTTCAATGAGGTAGGAGTAAAAAGCATTGCAATGAGATAATTGAGCAATATACTTGCAAGAATACGATACAGTGGTTAAAGAGTGAAATGTTTGATCGTGTGACTTTAGAGTTGGTACAGACTTAGGTGATGTCAAGATTGAGGCTCTGCTTAGGGAATGAGGTAGCTCAAGTCAAGTGGAGGAAAACCTCATTGGAGAGCTGAGGATCTGGGCTGAGCTACGGGTTGTGCCATAGATGGTGAAGTCCCATAGGATGATGATAAGTGCAGCCCAGCCCAGTGACTCATGCTTGTAATCCAAGCACTTTGGGAGGCCAAGGTGGGTGGATCATGAGGTCAGGAGTTCAAGACTAGCCTGGCCAAGACAGTAAAACCATCTACTAAAAATACAAAAATTAGCTGGGTGTGGTGGCAGGTGCCTGTAATCCCAGTTACTCGGGAGGCTGAGGCAGGAGAATTGCTTGAACCTGGGAGGCAGAGGTTGCAGTGAGCTTAGATCGTGCCACTGCACTCTGGCCTGGGTGACAGAGTGAGACTCTGCCTCAAAAAAAAAAAAAAAAAAAAGACTATGAGAAGTGCTTACGGGGAGAGGAAGATCAGGAGGTTTGAGAGGTCATGACAATAAGGACAGTGAGATGGTTTATCTCAGTGTCACGAGCTTCAAAAAAGCAGAGTTATTTTGTTTCTTCTTTTCATTTTTTTACAAGAGGGCAGAGGAAGAAAGGTCTACAAGAGGCACTCATTATAAAGAAGAAGACCACCCTGCCTTCCAACCCTGAAGTGTGTGCCGTGTGGAGAATAAATATTGTAATCTTGAGAAACCTGCAAAGGGAAGTGATGTCCTTGGGAGGCAGTCAGGCTGATGACAAAGCAAGGAGCTAGGAGAAACATTTGAATAGGAAACTGGAAGACTGAGGGAAATTTGGTGATGGTGAAGAGACGAATCCCAGGGACGGCAAGGAAGCATTTGGGATGAAAATCAGGGTTGGGCTAGGAGAGAGCAGTTTAGGTGAACTGTCCGGGAGATAGATGACAGACAATAAAAGGGGCTTATATGCCAAATATAAGGAAAAGAACTCTGTGAGCCATGGCGATTTGTCCTGATAGGACTGTGGAGGTAGGTGGGCAGTAAGTTAATTCTTTACTGTGCATTCCTTCTACCCATGATAAACTGATAGCAACTGCAGTGAGCGCAGCCTTGGTTGGCAGCAATAAGCAAGTAAATCTTGAGGTCATCTGTAATGGAGGCATAGGCTAGGGAAGGGTTGGGTAGTGGTCCTTTGACCATCCCTTGGACCCAGGGATGAAGCTTTCAATGGCATTCACTGGTACTGTCTCATGGCAGGCAAATGGTTCTTCAGCACTGGCTCCTCTCTCCAGGGTTTTGTGACGGTTTTATAATACTTACCCACCCAATCTAGTTCTACCCTTTGAGGGTCACAAAATAGCCTAATAACCACTCTTTTTCTTACCACCTATCAAATGGCTGTTAATATATCTCTGGGACTTCTCCTATTCTAAATCTTCTTTTGGCTGAATGTACATTCATTTTTTTCTATTGAGGTGAAGTTTACATAACATAAAACAACCATCTTAAAGTACACAATCCAGTGACATTTATCACATTGTATAACCACCAACTCTGACATGGTTTGGATCCATGTTCTCACTCAAATCTCATGTCAAACTGTAATCTCCAATGTTGGAGGTGGCACCTGGTGGGAGGTGATTGGATAATGAGGGTGGCTTCTCACGAATAATTTAGTACCATCCTCTAGGTACTATCCTCATGATAGTGAGTTCTCGTGAGATCTGGCCATTTAAAAGTGTGTGACACCTCCCCACATCCCTCTCTTGCTCCTGCTTTTTCCATGTGATATGGCTGCTCCCCTTTCACCTTCTGCCATGAGTGTAAGCTTCCTGAGTTCTCACCAGAAGCTGAGCAGTGTCAACACCATGCTTCCTGTAAAGCTTGCAGAAGTGTGAGCCAATTAAACATCTTTTCTTTATAAATTACCAAGTCTCAGGTAATTCTTTATAACAATGCAAGAATGGTCTAACAAAATCTCTATCTAGCTCTAAAATATTTTTATCAGAAGAAAACTCTGTACCCTATAAGCAGTTAGTTCCCATTTCCTTCTCAGCGCTTGGGAACCTCTGATCTACTTTCTGTCTCTATGAATTTACCTCTTCTATATGTTTCATATAAATGGAATCAGACAACATGTAAATTTTTTTATCTGGCTTCTTTCACTAGCAAAATTTGTTGACACATTGGATATGAGTTGTGAGAAAAAGAGAGGTGCCTCAGTTAATGCTAAAAGTTTTGGTCTGAGTAACCAGAAGGATGGAGTTATAATATACTGAGATGGAAAAGGCTGTGGGAAGAGCCCTACAGATTGAAGGAGAAATTCAGAAGTTCAGTTTGGGATATGTAAAATATGAGAGGCTTATTGAACAACTAAATTTGTTTGGGGATGGAGATATTGAGTAGGCATTTGGCTATAGGAGAATGGTTCTGGCCAGACATATAAATGTGGAAGTCATTAGCATTTAAATGATATTCGAAGTCAAGAGAGTCAATTGGATCACGAAGTCAGTGAGTTAGACAAAGAAAAGCAAAGCAGTGATCCCTGGAATATGGAGTACTCCAAGGGTTTGGAGGTTGGGGATATGAAGGAGAATCAACATGTGATGTAGAAGAAATAGCCAGGGAAGTTGGGGGAAAACACGGTGAAGTAAGATGAGGATGGAGAATAGGCTGTTGGTGTTAGTGAAGTGTAGGGCCTTGGTGAGAGCAGTCTCAGGGAACCGGTGTGGCTGAAAGCCTGATTAGACAAGCTTCAAGAGAGAATTACATGCTGAGCAACATAGTGAGATTCTGTCTTTACAAAAAATAAAAATAAAAAAAGTAGCTGAGGGTGGGGGCATGCACCTGTAGTCCTAGCTACATGGGGGGCTGAGGCAGAAGGAGCACTAGAGCCCAGGATTATTTGAGTGCAATGAGCTATGATCACACCAATGCACTCTAGCCTGAGTGACAGAGCAAGATTCCTGTCTCTAAGGAGAGACAGAAAGAGCATTAGAAAAGACTTAGAAAAAAGCCAGTCTAGGCATTTCTTTCAGGGTATAGTAGGAGCACTGGTGCTTTCACAAGTCTCCCTGGCTCCAGGTTTGTCCCCATTTTACCATGTCTTCCAAGCTCCTGCCAGAATTTCAGCTTAATGATCAAGGGCATGGGATTTGGAACCGATTGACCTCTGTTCAAATTCCCAACCGTGTCTCTTACTAGTTATGCGACTAAGGCAACTTTCTTACACCTCTTTGAGCCTTTTTAGAATGGGGATAATAATAATATCTATAGCAGAGAGCTGTTATAAAGATTAAATAAGATAATAAATATGGGGTGCTGAGCTTCGTAGCTATTATTGTTGCTGTTATTATTTTCCTAAAAATGCAAATCTGATTTGCATTTGACTCACTGACTCACATCAGTGAGTCTTCCTTTTTATTGTCCTTCATCATAGGGGTCCTAATTTCATATGCAGCCTTATCACCCTCTCATTTTATACTCCAGGAATATTAAAGGTACTTGTAGGCTCCTAAACCTCTAAGGAGCAAAAGCTGGAGAGCATCGGCTCTCTTCAGGGGTTAACTTCAGAAAGTGCTGCTAACAAGGACCTCCACTAGGTGGTGAGCAAGGAAAGACGGAGGTGAAGGAACGGAAATGAGTCAAGTCCACTGCTTAGCTCTACTAAAGTTTTGCAAACATCATAAATGTGTCTGAAATGCAGTTTTGCTTTGTAGTATTTGCTATTTCCAGGGGCCATCTACCACAGGTAGCCAACAGTTAGCTTAGAGTTTGTGAAAAAGAGAGGGGAGGGTGGTGGAAGAGAAGGAGGAGGAGGAGAGAGAAAAAGGAGAAAGAGGAGAACAAGAACCAAACAAAAACAAGAACAAGAACAAGTAGAAGAGAAAGAGGAGGAAAAAGAAGAGGAAGAAGAAGAACAACAACAACAATGAGGGAAGGAGGAGGAGAAAGAGAAAAAGGAAGAAAAGGAGGAGGGGAAGGAAAGATACACAGAAGAATGGAAGAAAGAATAGAAAGACAGGAGGGAGGGAAGAGAATCTATTCACATTACTTTTCTGGTCAGCAGTTCATTGTTTTTGTCAGTGGGAGGCAACAGAGGCCAGTCTAGGAAAGGGGTGGGGAAAGAGGAAAGAGAAGAGAAGGGGAGGGAAAAGGGGAGGAGGAGGATGTGAGACTGGGTTAGAGAATTGAAAGGAAGCAAGGCTTTCTGGTGACATTCAGTGCAGTCTCCCTGCAGCACAGCACGCTCCTCTTGGGCAAGAACCTGAGACCCCTTGTGCTAAGTCAAGAGGCTGAATGGGCTGCAGAAGAACTAGAGAAGGACCAAGCAAAGCCATGGTGAGCCTTTGAGCCTAAAAGACTTCTAGATGCCCAGATAGAAACTCTTGGGGCTGTAGAGGCAGGTGGCAAAGATAGGAAGCACCCCATTTCAATTCTGGTTTTAAAAACGATAGAAACTAAAAATTTTCTCAGACTCTCAAAAAAGTGATCCTGAAATCTTTCTTCTCAGATGTGGTAATTTCCTCTTGACTTTGTCTCTGGGGAGACTCCTGAAGAGGTACTATTGAAATCAGATCTTTTGCAATAAATGCTATGTCTACATGAGAAGTGATACACTTTGGAAGATAGAATTTTAAGGTGTGCAGGAAATCTGTGACTTTGTCATTTCAGTTACTCAAAATGTATTTCTTTCCATTTAAAAAAAAGAAATATTTCTCTTTCTGGTGTCTGTTTGGCTAATTGTTTTAGTTATTTGAGGCACTGACCCATTATGATCAAGTGTGAGGCTATAACATAAATATAAGCATCAATAGTTAATTAAGCACCAACAAGACTTTTAAAAATATACATACTAAATATTAAACAGTTTCATCTAACAGCTCAGCAGAAAAGCAGGTACAAAAATTACTGAACCAAAGAAAAGATTCAGGGCAGTACTGATTAGCAAGTTGAAAGTAAAGCACAAAAGTAAAATAAAACAAAACTATGCATCAGTTCTGATGTAAATTTAAAGTACTTTTTCATCTATGTCTGAGAAACCTGTTACCTCAGACAGGGTTAGTATGCATGTGTGTTTTAATTTGAATATTAAGAAAGTTGTAAGCACCACCTGAAGGGCTGTAAATGTGTGGTTTAAGAGCATAAATCTAAATGTAATTTTGTATTTCATTTGCAGATATTTCCATGGAAATGTCAGAGCATCCAGAGGGACTTATGGAACATCTTCAAGTTGTGGGGGTGGACAATGCTGTGTTGTGGTATGTTATGATATTTACATATCACTAAGTCTATTTTACTTATATTTATTTTTCTTAAATATCCACAGGTTATACATAGTCTAAGGGAAAATTATTACACAGAGAGCTGTTAATTCCATCCCTTCTATGAACATCTCTTTTCTTCTTACCTTTAGTTCTTCCCAGAAACTCCTGAACACTATTTTTAATCTACCATGGCCCGTGCTATAGGGTTCAAATCCCAACAACCCCACAAAATTCTCCAATTATAAAGGAATAACGTTAATTAAGAAATCTCTGTTAAGGCACTTACAATCTGTACCAAATATTTAGCACCTCATTTTCTATTTTTTATTAATAGTTCAGTGTACATTAATGTCATTTCTACAATTACAATATGAGCTCATTAAGGGATGGAACTTTATAGATTTTGGTCCTCCCATTGATGTGACGATTTCTTTTTTTTTTTTTTTTTTTTTTTGAGACAGAGTCTCACTCTGTCACCAGCCTGGAGTGCAGTGGTGCGATCTCAGCTCACTGCAACCTCTGCCTCCTGGGTTCAAGCAAATCTGCCTCAGCCTCCAAGTAGCTAGAACTACCGGCATGCGCTACCACGCCCAGCTAAGCTTTGTATTTTTAGTAGAGGCAGGGTTTCACCATATTGGCCAGGCTGGTCTGGAACTCCAGACCTTGTGATCCACCCGTCTCAGCCTCCCAAAGTGCTGGGATTACAGTGAGCAACCACTCCCGGCCTGATGTGACAAATTTTATATCTGATTCTTGAAGACTCTCCAGCAATAGCTTTGAACTTGGTTTTTCATTTCCTAAGTAAACTAATGTCTTCTTACTCCCTAGCATGGATTTTCAGCTCTAGCCAAGCAAACATGTTAACTCTGCCCTTCACATATTCTTTATGCCATGTCTGCTTTGTGTCACATGGAAACTTAGTGCTGTCTTCCTACAACAGGTATTTTCTGAGTCCCTGCAATGTGTGAAATCCATGATAGGCACTGAGGACACAGCAGTGGGCACAACAGTTTTTTCCCTCTTAGAACTTGCATTCTAGTGGAATGCTCATTCAAAGCTCTGTTCAAAATGTTTATTTTATGATGCTCTTTACCATCAATCATATCTGTTTCTTTACGGTATCAAACAGTGATTCATGTAGATCATACCATGCTTAGGACGCCATATATTACTATGAAGTCATTGTGTCTTTATGTGTTTAATTGGGTATCTTCGAAGCCCTCATATTTGAAGGATCCATATGTTTATTAAACATCATTAGTTGAGTCTCTTTGCGTATAGAACATGATCTAATCAATTTCATGAACCTCTATCTTTTGGCTTTGTAAATTGTTCTTTATAAAAATTATGCAGTGAGATATATAAGAGTTGAGTGGTATATTGGGCTTTCCCAGAAGCAGTTCTTCCTATGGTAAAATAAAATGTTTTTGATATAAAAGAGATTACTTAAAAGTACACCACTCTTCTTCCTGTCCTTATTACTCTTCTTCCATGGGTACATATGTGTTGGCTTTCAAGAAATTATTCCAGGATTAAAAACTATAGTGTAAATTGTATAGCTATAAGATACTATACTGTAATTAGTTGTAAATCATTAACAGCTACTAAGAAAAAGAAATATGAGTGTCTAAAATACAGTGGTTAAATTTCACCTGAAATAATTTGGTGACAAAATTAATAAGAAAATAAACCTAGAAAGCCACTAAATTTGTTTAAACTAAATTTGTTTAAAATAGAACCTTAGATAAAAGCATTTCATATGTAAGCCAGAAGGTCTAGGTTCTACTTCAAATCTGCAAACAACTATTCTGTGATCCTGAGACAGTCACATACCCTCTTAGGCTCTGTTTTTACATCTCTATTAAGTGTCTCACTCAGCCTGGAGTAGTGCTAGGTTCTTTTTAGCTGTTACATTTTGTAAGTCTGCATAGGTCACACTGTTGTCTTGCAGATTTCCTGGCACATCATGGAACCGACTGCTGGACTTACCATTATTCTGAAAAATCCATGAACTGGCAAAGGGCTAGGAGATTCTGCCAAGACAGTTATACAGATTTAGTTGCCATACAAAACAAGGCAGAAATTGAGTACCTGAATAAGACTCTGCCTTTCAGTCATTCTTACTACTGGATAGGCATCCGGAAGATAGGAGGAATATGGACGTGGGTGGGAACCAACAAATCTCTCACTGAAGAAGCAGAGAACTGGGGAGCTGGGGAGCCCAACAACAAGAAGAACAAGGAGGACTGCGTGGAGATCTATATCAAGAGGGCCAAAGATGCCGGCAAATGGAATGATGATGCCTGCCACAAACCAAAGGCAGCCCTCTGTTACACAGGTAGGGAGTAACAAGATGGCTACACTGCCTCAGACTCAGGAAGGACCACAGTTAAGAGAATAAGCAGATTAATCACATGGAAAGGTGAGGGGGATGAGAACAGCTGCTGGTTCATTCTAAAATATGTCTAGCCCTCTGCATAATCTTGTACCACGTCACTTCTGAGCATTTCTGGTGTGTAAGATTTGTCTCTATGCACAAAAGCTATACCCCTAAGTCAAGTTACATCAAAACGATAGGTGTATGTAGGAAGTACGGAGGAAGAACTAGACAATCAGTGCCTTTGATAATAAGGCAGGGGAGGAGAAGCTGAGAGCTGGGGCCATTTGGGAACTTAGGCTCACAACACTTTAGTTTTCATATTGTGAAGCAGGGAACGTGGAACTGCATGCTTCTTTCTTGGTCTAATCTTATACAATTTTAGATAAAAATGGCACTATCTTTGGTGTATGAATATTTCTGTAAATATTTTACAATTCCAAAATAGCCAGGAATTTTCCAAGTGATGTTTTAATAGCGAACCATAATTAATTTGGTCTCTTGTAAATTGGACTCTACTGTTTTAGCAACTTTGGACTTTTTAACCTTTGTGATTTCTATCAAGAAAGGGATTGCCAAGAAATAATTGCCTGCAGAAATTATTGAGGTCAGGCCATCATTTAACCTTCTTATTACATTATAAACAAGTAATTTCAAGAGTTTTGAGGTATGCCACTAAGTCTCATATAAGCATTACAGAATATTAGTATTGGTGATTTCATTCCTAAAGCAAATAAATGTCTATGGCTATATGCTTTGTATATTCTGTAGGTAAAAATTTTAGCATATGATTTTATGCTATGAATATACAAACAAACCTTTCCTGATTATTTAAATCATCTCAGAAAAAGGTTATCTACGTTCAAATAAATGACTTTGAGTACTGAAATGTAATCACATTAATTTTTTTTCTGACCTCCTTAAAGCTTCTTGCCAGCCCTGGTCATGCAGTGGCCATGGAGAATGTGTAGAAATCATCAATAATTACACCTGCAACTGTGATGTGGGGTACTATGGGCCCCAGTGTCAGTTTGGTAAGTCTCTTTCCTTTCTTTGCTTCTTCTTAAAATAAAGTCAAGGGAATCATTATAGCTTATGATGGAAGCTCGTTGAAACAAAATAATACTAGCCATTCTGAGAAATGGGAAGTTTTGATCAGAATGCTCTGCTTTCACAATGTTGTTACTTTTCCGTAAAGGTTTCATAAGTCAACATGAAGTTTCAATTCACTTCTCAACAAGTCTTTTTGAGTACCACAAGGAGCACAGTGTTGGGGTAAAAGCTGTCAGGTTACAATAAGGGATGAGCATGGTAGATTCCTGCTGTCAAGAAGCTCACAATCTAATGAGCTTGTTAGATTAATTAGAACTCTAAGGTCTGGAAGAAACTATGCCATTTATCATTAGGAGGCTGAGTTACCAAGAAGGTAATCTTGCTTTTTCCTTCTAGTACTTCCTTTCCTTCTTGCAGTTCTCCACACTTAATACATGTGCTCTGTAACTCACTGACTTTGTTCCTGGCCTTTTCTCTCATTTTGCACATGGCCAACAAACACATCATCTTTAAGACATAGTTCAAAGACAATTTCTTCTAGGAAGCTTTCTTAGTTTTGATAGCTCCACATATTTCTTCCTTATTTCTCCCACATATGTTGAAGTCATCTGTTCACCTGCCCATCTCTTCTGGTACTGTAAGCTTCTTGAGATCAGGAAGTGCCTTCTTTATCATCGCATCTTTGGGATTCACAAAATGCCTGGTGTATATCAGGCACTTGCTTGTGAGCCTTAATTGAATTGGACAATTTAATTTTTTTAAAATGTAATGTTTGTAAAGAATAAATAATTAAAACAGAAATAAATTTCAATGTCAACCAACTGAAATGGATCTATAGAACTAACTCATTTCACTTGATCCCTGGGCCATGATTCCTTCCTAATACTCTACCCCTACCACATTTTTGAACTTTATTTTTTAGCGCTTATATTATTGGTGTGACTATTTCACTCATTTTTAATTATTGGTATACCTATTTCACTCATTTTTAACGTTTTACTTTTTTTTTTTTTGTCTTGGTTTCTGTCATCTCATTCTTTTCTCCTTCTCTTTCTACCTGTGATCATTTCTCCTGGGATCCTTCATGGGCACTTACCCAGGACCATAAATTATTATGATGTCTCAGCTTTTATCCTTTGTCTATTGCTCTTCTGACTCTAATCTACATGTCTCCTTTGGTCAAACTTACTGACATTTTTGGACTCAGAAATCTATGTGATCTTTGGACTGACAAACCTATCTCCAGTTCTGAACTCAAATATGCTAAGGATGTCCTTTGGGATGTTCAACAGACTCTAAAATCAATTGTTCCCAGACAGCTTTCCTTTTTGTACTTCTATGTCTTATATCAGTATATGGAATCACCATTTGCATGGGCACCTTGGTATGAGACTCTCTTAACTGCCCAACATTAATGCGGGGTAACGTTCTACCAGTTTTTACAACTTAGTGCTTTTCTAATTTGTCTTCCACTAACACTTGTCAACTCTACTACCATTGCCCCTGTTATCTTTCGCCTAGATTCTTGTAATAGTCTACTAGATGAGTTCTAAAATTTTAAATTAGCTCCCCTCAGATATATTATTCATGCTACAGGCAGACTGATCAATTAAAAGCAATTAAAACACATCACACATATGTGACAATCCACCCATTAATTTCTACCTACTATTTTGCACTACAAGGTGAAATCTAAGCTCTTCAATCCCCAGAGTAATGCTTGATATATAATAGATACTTGTTAAATCAATGAAAAAAGATAACATTTTCTCTTAGCTCCTATCTTCATCCCTAATGTCATCTCATATAATTTCCAAATACAAAAATTCTTCTGATTCCTTGAGTCCATTCTTCACTGAAGTCTCGAGAGCAAGGTAGCAATAATGGCTGAAATTTGGCAGATGAGGAATAGGACATGAAATTTGTACTGTTTACCACTGGCATGGCAGGGTCTAAAACATGAAGACTTTAATTTCCAAGTCTTACATTTACCTTTTGTACCACCAATCAGGAAAGGGAAATAGGTACAGTTTCTGGAGAGGGTTGTCAAAATCAAGAGTTAAAATTCTGGAACTGAGCTAGAATAGATGAAGACAGAATTGAGGTCAAAATGCTTCCTAAGCTTTCATATTCTCTCCTTGCAAAGAAGAGTTATTATGGAGACTTACTCTTTCTCTAAACGTCCTACTCCCAATACGCTAGTAGATTCAGGGGCTCTGATGGGATAGCTATTTCCCAACTGAGGTGGTGATTCCCAGTTAAACCTATGTGGGTTTAAGCATTCTCCCTCCAGATAATGCCAAAGATAATAATGTAAAGACCAGCTAATGTATAATTAGAAACTGAAGTTGGAGAGTATAAATAACCTTTCTTAAAGGTGCATGGTTATCAAGTGGCTGAGCTAGGATTCAAATCCAGACAACAGGTCCTCTTAACTCTTCCCCATACTGTTTCTTTGCCTATTGAAGTGATTCAGTGTGAGCCTTTGGAGGCCCCAGAGCTGGGTACCATGGCCTGTACTCACCCTTTGGGAGACTTCAGCTTCAGCTCACAGTGTGCCTTCAACTGCTCTGAGGGAACAAACTTAACTGGGATTGAAGAAACTACTTGTGGACCATTTGGAAACTGGTCATCTCCAGAACCAAGCTGTCAAGGTGAGTAACTTCAGACAAGAGGCTTTGTCATGTTGATCCTGGGCTTACAGTCAGAACATTCAGTAAAAGTTTGCTGAGAAGTCAAACTTAGGAGCCTAATTTAACCTAACTTAGTTTAACCTACTGTGATGTTTTTCAAAGGACTTGTTCTTACTAAATTTTTTTGAAAAACCTCCCAAACAAAAAGTAAAAACCAAATACCCCAAATGTCATCTCACAGTTGGTAATATGATTTATAGGAATACAGCATGGTTATACTGTGGTTTTAATTTTTCTCATTGCCATAGCATAAATAATATCTTGCTGAAGCTCAGTTAAATTTTGGTCCTTCTCCTCTCAATAACACCTACTTTATGTGGTGTCCTACTTAACACCAACCAATTTCCTCCTCAGGGTAGTAGAGGTCTTTCTTGGTTGTTTTATTTGGCTTATTCTTAAAACCATCTTTTACTTTTCCTTGTGCATAAATTTTTAGGAGAATAACAACTGAAAAACAAAAACACAATATCTTGATCTTTTTAAGTTTGAAAAATGGCAGAATTTTTTTTTTTTTCTTTTTTAACTACCAACCTTATCCCCATCTGGGAGAAAACCAATACCATCTGAACTTGTGAAGTTTTGGTTAAATTTTCCACAAGTATGCCCCTGACGCATTAGTTTAAGTAGTTTAATTCTTAGAAGTGCTATCAAAATCCTTTACTGAAATCACAGAACTGTCAACCCACCTACTGAATTTTACAGAAGTTGGACTTGCTTCAGTGACTAGGGATGTTTTTCAAAACTGCTTGGGTAGATATTAGACCAGGTGAAAAGGCGGAGTTTCTCTGAGAATATTCCATGAGCATCCTTGATGCAGAGGCCATGTGGCATGGTACTTCCAGCAGAAGTGGAGGGTCACCTTAGCTGTGGCAGCAGCCTGGAGGAGCCACTCCTCTCCCCACCAGCTTTCAGTGCTTCCTTACCTTCATCTCTCATTCACTATCCACCATCATTCTCTAAGAAAACAAAGCCAAGCCTGGAAGCTTTATCAGAAGTAATGTAGTCAGGTGGCTCCGGCTAAAAATCCTTTGCTCAAGGGAGAGTCTCTACTCAGAAATACTGTTTTGTCTTTTTTTTCTTTCTTTCTTTTTAATTGAAGCGATTCAGTGTGAGCCTCTATCAGCACCAGATTTGGGGACCATGAGCTGTAGTCACCCACTGGCCAGCTTCAGCCTTACATCTGCATGTACCTTCAGCTGCTCAGAAGGAACTGAGTTAATTGGGGAGAAGAAAACCGTCTGTGAATCATCTGGAATCTGGTCAAATCCTAGTCCAATATGTCAAAGTGAGTAAGTTTGTCCTGAAAAACTGGAGACTTAGACATGGATTTGATGGATGAACAGATGTGAGGAAAGAGATACATAAACGTTTATATTTTGTTTTGCTAAGTAAATGTGGCTTAAAAATAAATTTGTATGCTTAATTCACTGTAAAATCTTTGGCTGCTCTTGCCTCCTCCTTTAATGGCAACCATTTCTTTTTTTCATTCTCACCTCTTGCCATCTTAACTCTTAAAATCTGAACTCACTGATTTACTTTTTATCCATTATTCTATTCCACTACAACCTAACATCTGCGTTGGCCCATTGAAATGCCTCTAAAAGGTCACCAATGACCACCTACTTCCCAAACTAATGGATACTCCTGAATTATCATTCAGCTAATGCCCCCAAATCTGTCTGAACATGAGAAGAATCATGTCTTCTTCGTCTTTGTATACCCTCCACCTGACACAGTGCTTGGCAATAGGTGCTAAAGCAAATGCATGTTAAGTTAGCATGTGAACCGTTACCCATGTCTGCCCCTGAGACTATCTGCATGGATGACAAAAGTCTTTAAGTGGTAGGGTCTGCAGAAGCTGTCAGAAACGCTGATCTGGATGTGCTGTGTGTCCAGGGCCACGGAGTAGAGTGGGTGAGCACAGAAAGGCAGGGAGCCCTTTAGCAGAGGACTGTATATTAGGCCTATCAGACACATTTCCCTCTAAGGCCTAGCTAGTGTTCATTTCCTCCTTCTCTTCATCAAGCCAAAGATGCCCTCTGTCTGAAGCTTCCAGGAACTTGAGCCTTCTCTCCATCATATATGGGTGTGGGGATCAAAGCACCTTGAAAAGGTTCATCAAAGTAATGGGGAGAACTAAGGATAGAATCAGTCCCTCTGCCAACACGTAAAAAGTAGGTTCCTTCCAATGTTGGTATCAGGAAACAGATTTTTTTTATACCAGCGTTTTTAAATAGAGGCTCCCAAATGAACTTAGTTTACAGTTACAAGAGTATCTATAAATATGCCCTTTTACTTATTTGTGAAGCAAGTAGAGGGAAGTGGTAGGGCTACCTCATTTGAAAGAGATTAGTGCAGGTCCTTGGCATGGAAACAAGTGCTTATTTTTGCACAACTGCTTTAAAGTAAAAGCATTAATGATTTTCTTTGACTGATGAATTATCCAGTTCAGATCACTGGCTTTTATTTTTCCTGAAGTTGTGTTAGGCTTTCTAGCTCTTCTCTGTGTTTCAGAGTTCCAACCATTGAACAAGTCCATGGAGCTAAATACGGTGTTGACCACCATTTTTGCCAACATTTTTAGGTGTATTCCCAGGAACTCTGAACCACAAATCTGGGGATTGAGATTCTGTAGGCATTGGACTAGTGAGGCTGGTCCAGTTTTTGCCTATGCTGTAGACTTATCATAGACCTTCCCATGCCTGTTTCCTCATCTGTCAAATGGCATCACATGGGCTACTACTGAAAGATGTAAGAAGGAAAAAAGTCAAATATCATGAGATGGACTAAGGAAATAATGCTTGTGGTCTCATGCTATGTGCCTTACTGTTTACTCTTTCAGAATTGGACAGAAGTTTCTCAATGATCAAGAATGGCGATTATAACCCCCTCTTCATTCCAGTGGCAGTCATAGTTACTGCATTCTCTGGGTTGGCATTTATCATTTGGCTGGCAAGGAGATTAAAAAAAGGTATGTGCCTGACCCCAATCATCCTGTCTTTATTCCTACCTTGGGTAATGATGGCAGAACTGAGAGATAGAGAACAGGATGGGTTATTACACACTGCCCCCTGGGATAAGGTGGCTATATCTAAATAATTTAAGGACTTTGAGGCTGTAAATCACCTTAACAAGAAAACTATTTATTTCCAAATTCTGAAATCTTTTAATAAAGTGTTTGTAGAATCAAAAGAATAGAATCAGTCACCCGTATTTAGTGAGGGGTTAGCTGGCTAAGGCTATTTTATAAGCAAGGGTAAAAAAAATTAGTGGGTTTGTTTTTAAATTTTTTACCTTGGAGTCATTTCTGTACAAGATCTCAACCGATAACTTGAAAACTGCATACTCCTGCGGTGGGAATCAGTGTGGGGCAAACAGGAAACAGATAACGGGCAATTACGCTAGTTACAGTTATGCCAACAAAGAAAACAGAAGCCCCCAAAATCACAGGTTTTGTAGGAAGCTCAGGGTATCTTTAATATGAGATTAAATAGTCTTCATCTGTGGGCCTGGCTCCATGGCTCTTACCTGTAATCCTAGCACTTTTGGAGGCTGAGGCAGGAGGATTACTTGAGCTCAGGAGTTCAAGACCTGCCTGGGCAACATGTGAAACTACCTCTCTACAAAATACCAAAAATTAGTCAGGCACGGTAGCATGCAAATGTAGTCCCAGGTACCCAGGTGAGTGAGGTGGGAGATCACTTGAACCCAGGAAGTCAAGGCTGCAGCAAGCCATGGTAGAAGCACTGCACTCTAGCTGGGCAACAAAGTGAGACCCTGTCTCAGAAAAAAAAAGTCTTCATTTGTAAAATATCTTCCAGTATTACCAACTTACAAATAATTCTGCTTTCCAAAAATTTTAGTTGTAGGTTGGTCGTTTAAACATGAAGAATATTTTTCCTATAGAGACAATGGTAGAAGTAATGGCTACGTTCCCAGGCTAAACCTAAGAGTTTTTCTAGGACAAAATATAGTTCATGGCATTTACAAGGATAAAAGTAAAAAGTCCTAAATCTGCATGTGTGTGTTTGAGGGTGTGTATGCGTGTCTATGTGTCTGTGTCGTGTGTGTGTGTGTGTGTGTGTGTGTGTGTGTATACACATATACGGAGAAAGAGAGAGACAAAGAGATAATTTATGGGCTTTCTGGGTTCTAATAGCTAGAAAAAGGGCACAGGTAACTATTTAGAGCATGGTAGCCAATGAAGTGACCAGAGTCTTTACCCCTATTCTTCTGTCCTCAGATGAATCTTCTGACTCTAGCGCTTTGTCCCCTGCCCTAGCAGTCTTAGTTTGAGACTTTGGCTCCTTTCTTTTGGGAAAGGAATAAGGAAGGGCTCCAGAAACATGTGTCCTGTGCATGGACTCATCTAGACACATTCTGTTCTCCTGGCGTTATCATTCTCTGATTAGTCACTACTATTGGCCTGTTTGGTAACTGAGAAAACCAAGACAATGATGTTTTAGGCCAAATCTCAAAAACCCCATATCAGCAGGCCCCAGAGTCAGAGATTAGACGCCCATCCAGATACATCTTCAAAAACTACTGGTCTTCAGATTTGTGAACTGTTTTCTTCCTCGGTTGGAAGAATTTCCCACCTAAACCAACACCCAGGGTTAGATGAAGTCATGAAACTGAACACATGCCCCCCTAGTTCCCTTTTCTTCAAAAAGAAACTCTCTCAGTAGGAACAGATTCTTAATCATCTATTGCTGTTAGTTTCATTGTCCCTAAAAAAAAAAATTATGTGAAGTTAAACAAACAGAATCTAAAGCTAATTCAGATTTGATTCTCCCTGCTCAAGTGCATTTGGTCATCAGCAGGCTGAATTTTAGAAGAAAAGATTGCAAATACTAGTCTTTCATACTGTAAAGGATTAAGACAGTAATGGAGCAGTGTCTAAGTGCTAGGACCCGAACTAAATTCTTTGAATATATTTTATTTTATCAATCCAATGAGGATGATACAATTATCATGCCTCTTCAACAGACGAAGAAACTGTAGTTTAGAGAAGATAAGCAGTTGTTCAAAGACACACTTCTCTACGAGTGGCAAAACAGGGCTTGCACCTGGGTGGGATGATTCTAGAATGCCAGTGTACAGCCACTGAAATATATTGCCTCCCAAATGATTCTTTCTGCTCAAAGAGTTTTCTTTTTAAAGTTATCTACTTGTTTATATTCTGCTTTTTTTCAAAAATAATGTGAGATAGTACAAAATGCATTCAGTATAGCAAATTAAAATTAGTTAAAAAGTAAGAAAAACAAAGTTAAATTTAAACTGAAAATTTAAACTGGGTTCCTTAAAAGAACCAAGGTTGAAGTTATGGCACAAAATGTAAGCCACAAAGTCCCATATACTTGGTAGGAGAAGGTCTCAGATTTTGCTCTGAGTTTCCTTGCAGCCAGTCAAAGGAGAAACATGTGATATTCCTTGTGTCTGTAAGATAAACACACATTAGTTACTCAGATGAGGCTGTGTAATTCCTACCAACAAGACCAAAGTGAAATTCTCTTGTGGATTCTCATAGAGAAGATGCTGTGAGGTATAAGGGCACATAGTCTTACAGTATCAGCAGCTACTCCTCAAGGGAAGAATCTGTAGGTAGGATGAGATGGCAGATTGGGAAGGGTTTATAAACACTTGAATGGGCATATTGGGTCTCACAACCAGGCAATGTAGCCTACACTTCTGTCTTTTTTAGTAGCACAGAGAATGGAATAGAACCCCGAGAGGCACCTGCATCAACATGTCTGTCCTGTTTATCTACCACTGTTTATTAGAACACCAAGCCAGTTCCCCAAATCCCCTTTGACACAGATGGGGTCCACCTAACAAATACCTAATACACTTCAAAAGACAGTTTTGAGAGTGGGAGTCTTCCTTCTCTCCTACTTTAAAACTTTAAATTATCTGATTTTTGCTAATGTCATTTCTCTGTTTTCTATTTTTAGACAAGAAATCCCAGAAAAGGTAAGTTTTATCAGTGGCAAGGAGTTTCCACGTCTGCTGATCCCTTCTCTACTTCCTTAAGTTACTTCCTGCTCTAGCGAGACACCTTAACCCCATAGTAGTTTATTTACCTGGGTTCCTCATCCAAATGACCAGATAAGGTGATAAATCTACTAGCCTTCTTTCAGAGCTGTGCTTTTTGGTGCTAGTGGAGCTGAATGAATGAATGAACAAGTAATTCCGTATTAGAAAAGGGCAGTTGATATAAAGGGAGCTTTTTCTGGTTGCCTCAGAATTTTCTCTGAGGGTGAAAAACATTGTGCTATGTTCTTTTTGTTCTGGCTGAACATGAGGCCCTAAATATATTACTTACGAAAGAATCAACTGAACAACCATTTATTGAGAAATGAATAAATGCTTGTTCAATTGAATATTTGCATTCAATTGCTCTACTAGGCATTGACCTTCAGAAATGTAGGAAAGGTAGGGAGCATGAATTCTTCCTACAGCTTCCCCAAGGAGGCAATTATTTTTTAGTTTGGTCTTGAAGCTCAAATTTCTTCAACTGGAGAAATTGCATAGTGGGAGGACATGCAGACATGTCAAAGTGCATGGCCCATCTGGCAGAAATGAAGATGGTAAAATATTTCTCAGTTTCTAGGGTTTAGTGACTTGCTCTGGAATTTTAAGAATGAGTGTAAGTAAAATTAACTATGAAAGGAAGACTTTGGTGACATATTCAGTACCCAGCTGGACAACTGAGCTCCCTTTAAAATGCTAGAAATGAAGTGAAATGATTTCTGAAGGGATTGGATGCTGGTTTGGGCAACCATCCTACCAACCACAGACTTAGTATGGACCATTGCTTAGAATGCAAAGGAAAAAGTGGGGAAAGACACCAAAAGCCAGATCATAAAGTAATTTATAAGCCATGTGATATGGGCTTTATCTTGAGGTCTTTTGGGATATCACTAAAGCGGTTTAAACAGTGAGTGGCCTTGCCTCCTGCATCTTATGAAGGTCAACCTGCAGAGCAGTATGGCAAGTGTGGGAGACAAGTGGCAAACAGACTTGTTTTGGAGGCATTTGAAGTTATTAGGTTAAAACTGACGGTGCCTGCCTAGGGAAATGGTAGTAAGAATGGGCTCATGAAATCAGAGGAGGTGATATTAACTGAATGTGTCTGTTAATTGGCTAAAAGGGAGAGAGAAGAATAAAATTATCATCTTTCTGACCTGGAAAGTGGCAGATGGTAGTACTGTTTACTTCTGAGAAGGGAACATAAAAGAGTGAGAGGTTTTGGGGGTAAAGATTGTGGGTTCAGCTTTATACTGAGCTTTTGGTGTCTGCACATCATTCACTGTGGTTCACTGGGCCTATCCACAGCACAGGGCCACGTTGGGGAAGGAGATGTGGGTTTGGGTCCCTCACATTTCAGGAGTTAACTGCTATCTCAGGAATGGGTACGATCATCCAGGAAGGGTGTGTGTGCTCCGAGAATGGAGGAGGAGAGAGGAGGGGAGCCAGGGAAACATCATTATCTAACAAGTCGGCCAAGGGAAAGAGAAATGATGAAGAGGTTGCCAGGCAGGGAGAAGGAAGAGGAGGAAGAGTGTGGGGTCATGAATGCCAAAGAAAGAGAGAAAGGGGAACGGTCTCAAACATTGCCAGGAGAAGCAGTAAGTATCCCCTCGATGCAACAAGGGTGTCAGTGGGGAGACCATTTTCAGTGCAGATATCAAAACAGAGGTCATATGGCCAAGTGCTGAGCATCACTGAGGATGAGAAAGTAGAGACAGAACATGCAGTCAGCTCTTTTAAAAAGTTTGGCTGTGAAGAACTGGGGCAGGGGTAACTGGAGATGTTTGATCGGTGGAGCCTCTTTTTATTCTTTTTAATTACTCTGTCTTCTCTTTAATAGTGTAAATGGAGTCTAGTGAGGAAAAGCTTCTTTCTCTGGGCTGGTCTCCCTATGTCTGTGGCAGGAAACCCACAAACTGTGAAGATTTCTTTCACACTCCGACCTACTGAGTGAAAGTATTTTCTGGCACAATCTACCCAGAGCTGTTTTCTGGCTACAGGAACCACCTGTTTTAATTGCCACTAGATGGAAACAGATCAACTAGATTTTTTTTTTAAGATGTCCTTGAGGCACAGGAAGAGGTATTGGTTGGAAGAATACTAGCAATAAGCTAATTACCATGCTAAGAAAATTGCTGTACTAAGTTTAATGGTTCACTGATTTTTTATAATCAATTAATAGTTGTTCATTGAACTTTTTTTTGTGTTGGAAAATGCTAAACATGCTTGAGACAAGAGGAGTACGGCTTGCCCCTGATTTCAGGGAGATTATTACCTAGCTGGGGAGTTACGACAGGAATATAGAAAGAAAAAATCAGAAAAATACAAGGCAGAGTATGGTAATGGCCAATGAGTGCTATATTTAAGAAGGGAAAAATCACTTGGCTTAGTGATTATAGAAAAGCTTATAAAGAAGGTGGCACCTGGGTTGCTTTTGAAGAATAGGTAGGATTTAGGTTTACGGAGAAAAGCAGGAAAGGGAGGCAGTCTGTAGGAGGGAAATGGTGTCAGCAGTGGAATGGTAGTGAGACTATGAAGGCATTTCTCAGGGGCCAATGAGCAGAACTTTCTAGAGCCCATGGCTTATTGAGGAGTTGTTTAATCAAAGTTGGAAAGGAAGGCTGGCCCCACCAACATCAGTCTTGAATGCTTCACCAGACAGCCTAGAAGGGCCTAGCAAAGAAGAATTATTTGCCTAGTTCTCATTTATTGACCAAGGCTGTATTAATTCATAAGGATTTTAGGTCTGAATAGGATTTTGGTGGGTATGACATTCAAACTCTTTTTATAGTTGAACTTATTAAGTAACTTTTCTTTAGACCTTGAGCAAGTGATGAAGTTAGTTACAATAATCATAAACCTTTATCAAATATTAATTCCATGTTGTACACGATTATGAATGGTTTACATGTTTTAAATCATGAAATATGCCTTGAAGTCTGTGGGAGAGGGTCTATGAACATCTTCATTACAGGTAAAGAAACAGGCACAGAGAAATAAAATAGCTAGCCTGAGGTCACAATAAATGGCAATGGTGAGATCCGTACTCATCTGGATCCAGGGATCATGCTCTTAAAGCATATGCTTTTAGAACTCAAGACTCTTGACTACCAGCTTAGCGTGGTAAGTCCTAGATACTCTCCTTTTCCAGTAATGTGATTTTTTTTTTCACACTGAAACCGTTGTGTGATGGCATTGAGGAAGGGTGGGGTAGAAGAAGTAGGGTGTGTTTTCTGAACAAGTCATTTTACAGAGGTAAAATGAATACTATCACACTAAACAGTGTGCCGTTGTTTTTAAGTTCTTAGGCTAACTTTCATAGTAGTTTGTATTCATTTCCATTAGTTTTTGAATGGCGAATGAATGACTCCTTGGGCATTTGTGGTTTCATTTCTTGTTGAGTTATTTTGACTCTTCTGCAAACTGGCTCTGTTTATCACCTCATTTGGTTTCTACTGTCTAAATTCTGGCAGGGTAGAAGCTACACCCAAGATACACAGGAAGATATGATGCCAACCTCAGAGGAGGGCATATGTGAAATTTTGTTTTCAGAAACATTTCTTGTCTCTATTTTGGCAAGCATCTTTGCAGCTGCTGAACTGTGGTTTACCCTGACAGTTCATCATGAGAACAGCACCTCAGAATCTAGTTCTCCCTTTGAAAGGTGATATTAAGACATACCACATTTTGTTCTCTTGTGTCCTTTCCAAGAATAAGACAGCCGTGTCACACAAAAAAGTGTCACTTATTTCCTTAAACTAAATGTGTTACCATCTCATTAAATTATATCCCAGGATATAATTTGTCAGGAGTTTATAATTACCATCATTTCATGAGTTTTAGTTTTCTCCAATTTCATTTTCCATTTAAGCATGCCTTCTAATTTCTTGACTTTCCGCTGCTCAAAATCAATCTGCACTGTCCTTCAAACTCATTAGATCTGGAGACAAAGACCGTACCACAAAAATTTCTCCAAGTGTGGTCTGTGGGCCAGTGGCATAAGCATCACTAGAGAGCTTGTTAGGGGTGCAGAATCTCAGACTCCACTCAGACCTATGGAATCAGAGTCTGCATTTTAACACCATCTCTGAGTGGTAAGCACATGAAAGTCCGAGAAGTGCTGCTTCAGGGTTTGCTTACCATTCGTTCATGTTCAAATATTCCTAAAGGCTGGCACCTTGCCTGAGATTTTCAGCTGAAAGCATTTCCTTGCTCCTCTTCTCATCTCTCATAAATATTTACCTTTACTACTAACACTCCAAGTTTTACAAGTTTTAAACTCTTTATTATCTTTTGTTTTTCTTTCAGTATGGATGACCCATATTAAATTGCCCTCGATAAAAGAAAACTCTTGGAATACTAAAAATCACTGGATCCTTTAAATCCTCCCACGGAAACTTTTGCGTGGTGGCGCCTCCTACAACAAAGATGAAGTGTGTTTCCTTCACCGCATCTGGAAAGATTTCTACCTGACCAACAGCTCCTTCTGCTTCCATTTTGCCCCTCATTTATCTCTCAACCCCAGCCCACAGATGTTTATACAGCTCAGCTTTTTGTCTTTTCTGAGGAAAAATAAGATCATAAGTGGAAAAGATTAAGGTGGAATATGAACATGGCTGACTCCCCTCTTTCTTGACTCCTATTTCCAGTTTCAATTCACTGCTGTACCTGATGACAGACACTTCTAAATGCAGTGAAAATTTGACACATATGTGACTATGGGCTTAGTTTTCTTGCAAATCAAATTTCACATCCTGTCTTCTGTATACTGCGGAGCTACACTCTTACAAAAAGTTCACAAAGTCTATGCTGTCCTTGCTGTCTAAGTCCAGTGAAGTGACGGGGTCCTGCTCAAGTTGAAAGAGTCCTATTGCACTGTAGCCTCACCATCTGTGGATGGAGACCATCCTATTTAACTGCCTTCAGCCTCCTCACCTTCTTCGCTGCCTTTCTTTTTCAGTTGGCTGGCTTACATATGTAGTGTCTCATGAGTGCCACGCAAAAGAAGAGAAAAGAGAAATAGCCTGCATCTTTTTTTTTTTTTTTTTTTTTTTTTTAGTTTGGGGGTTTTGTGGTTTCTTTCTATGAGATCCATTCCTATTTCTTATAGTCAATGCTTCTTTTATCAGTGTATTATTAATAAGAAAACATCACTGAAATGCTAGTTGCAAGTGACATCTCTTTGATGTTATGTAGAAGAATTAAAACAGGTAGAGAAATTCCTTGGAAGAGTTAAAACAGGTAGAGAATGCTCTCCTTTCCTCTGCCCTCCAAACTTCTTATCCACTTACCTAGATTCTACATATTCTTTACATTTCATCTCAGGCCTCCCTCACCTCCACCACTTCTTTTATAACTAGTCCTTAACTAGTCCAGCTCATGATGATCTCCTCTTCCTGGCTTCTTCCTGAAAGTTAGCCTGTAATATGCAATTTTGCATTTGAATACAGCCTGCTTTTTAAGTGTTACCTAGTTTGCCTAGTTTGTTATTTTGAAAATTATCATACAAACATATGATAATATGTTTTCTCCCCAGTGAAATTTTATGCTCCTTTAGGGCAGAGATTGTGCCAGATCCCTGGAGTGTCAATAAATGAATGTTCAAATAAATCAGAAAGAGCATACATTTTGTTTTGGTTTTGTTTTTTTAAACGGTAAGAATTTGCACATCACTGCTGATATAAGTTTCAGCAAACCCTCTTTCACTACAGCATCTGATGACCTGGGCAGATATCACCTAATGTCAAGAGCTGAATTTTTATGAGAGAACAGGACCCTGTCAGAAGCTAGCTGGAAATACCTCCTTGTCCCATGGCCAGTACAGATTTCATACAAATTTGCACACATTATGAGAATAATTTTTCAGTAATGATTACATTTTTCATTCTCAAAGACATCTCAGATTCTGTATTACAGCAAGAGCTGTTGCAAAAGATTCTCCCTTTGGCTGTGCAAGTCACATTCATGTAGTTTAGGGTGTATCCCCTGGAGTTGTGCAGTGCACACCTGCACAGACTCACATGGCAACCCTGATTGAAAATGTTTGTTCAACTAAAACATCAGGGCCAAGGAACCAAAATGGACACTATTCCTTGTAACTACGGTGTATATAGATTTAAAAATAAAGTTCTATATTCACATTCTAGGATTCCTATATGATCTTAGGAATTATCTAATAGTATATCCCATAAATAAAGATTCATAATATAAATTTCTCCAAAAACCTTGGTCTTAACCTCCCTGAGACTTACTTCTTATGTCCGTAAAATAAGAATGAAATTTGCCTTGCTTACCTCACAGGGTTATTATGATGTTCATTAAGTATGAAATTGCTTTGTGAACTGAACCTTAAACATGGACTTTCTTTTTTTTCCTCACCCAAATCTCACCTTTCATGCTTTCTTGGTATACGATTCTGGCTCTTATCCTAAGGCTCTAACAGATGGAGCTCTGAGTCCTTATCCTGAGATTAGAAATCAGGAGTTCTTTTATTTGTGTTTCCTTAGGAACCCAGCCCTCAGATTTTAACTGCAGAGGGTCAGCTCTGCCACCTGCACTTCTGCTTGGGGGAGGCGAAAGGGCCTGGGACAGGGAGTCAGGGGCATCATTGGAAACCCTGCCTCTGTCTCTGTGATGTGACCCAGGCCAGTTGTTATTCTCTGAACTTCCAATTTACTTATGAAAGGGGGATCCCATGAACTTCCTCACATGGTTGTGTGAACTCCTCTCTCCCTTTATTGAGACTACCAAGTTCATGAAATCAACAGAGTCCCAGGAACACAGAATTATTCATTCCTTTTGATTTGTTCACCCAAAATCAATGTGCCTAGGCTATATGATTATAGTTTCCTATGGAAATAGTTCACCAAATTAAAATCTGATTTTTAAAAAATCAGCTGGGCATGGTAGCACACACCTGTACTCCTAGCTAGTCAGGAAGCTGAGGCAGAAGGATGGCTTGAGCTTTAATGATTTAATGAGAATAGAATGAGGCAAAACAGAGGCTTCTTGTCCCAATTGCACTGTGGGAAATGAATAAATGTATTCTTTAGACATCTATGTTCTTTGTCTTAAACTTTCTCCTATCTGCCAGCTGGCTTTTCTCGAGGGTTCTTTTCTCCAAAGTCCAAGTTCTTTTCCAGTTTCCCTCTTTTGACTTCAGCAATTTGATTTTTCCCTTCTGTTCACATGTCCTATTCAGGAAAGAAAATCTGCCATCACCAAAACAGCCTACCCACCATCCACAACAAGGGACAGGGAAATAAGGCAGAAACAATGAGATCTTCCCTTCACTTTGGCCTTTGTGGTCTTGTCTGATCCAGTGGGCCCTGACATTTTATGAGATACATACAGCCTTCCCTGTGGGATTCTGAAAGGGTTTTAGTTGGAAGTAATATAATAATATTTACTTGACATCTTGGTATGAAGCTTGATCTGGTAGTGGTGTTTTCAATACCAATTGTTTTAATAGCAGTAGTAACCATAATGATGATACTAGTAAGGAATGCAGTTTCTTTTAAAAGTTTTTAAATCGTGGTGGGGTGCGGTGGCTCATGCCTGTAATTCCAAAAATTAGGGAGGTTAAGGCAGGAGGATTGCTTGAAACCAGAAGTTTGAGACCAGCCTGGGCAATACAACAAGACTCCATCCCTTTTTTTTTTTTTTTTTAATTAGCTGGGCATGATAATACATGCCTGTAGTCCTAGCTACTCAGGAGGCTGAGGCAGGAGGATTGCTTGAACGCAGGACTTTGAAGCTCCAGTGAGCTATGATTGCACCACAGCACAGCAGTCTGGGTGATAGAATAAGACCCTGTCTCTAATAACAATAATAATAATAAAGTTTGTTAGATTAAACTTATCTTGGCATACAGTTATCTTAGTAAGCATCCAAATCTCTTTTCAGGAGAAAGCTACCTTTTCTAGATAAGCCTTTAATATAGCAGGTGAGACCCTACAGACATAGTGTTGGCAAGAACTCAAACAATAGTAATATGTAATTAAGGCACTCTGCATAAGAACACTTAGAGGAGTTAGTTTTCTTTGCTCCTGTGAGCACATGAGAAGAAAAAATAAAGCGAAGGTAATGAAAGTAGAGAGAGAAGAACTAGAAATGTGAGAAGCTGAAGAACTCTGGGTGTTGGGGGGGGGTCAGCCTGGCCTCTGGGGACTTGTATGGATTTAAACAGTGTGACTCCCCTGCATCACACTAACCTTCCCTTCCGTAACATCCTTAGCTTCTGGGCTGGGGCACTTTCAGGCTGCTTGGTGCCAGGGGGCTGTCTTGTAACATCCTACAAGGAATGCAACCCAGAACTGTATTTAGGTTGCTTTGAAGAAGGAGTTTAAGGTGGAGGGGTTGGTTCTTTAATTTGGGAAAGTAGATATGAAGTAATAGCCACAAAATGCAAAGTTAGTACAAAATATTCAGTTAGAAACAAAATATTTAGAAGAAAATCAGTGCCCAGGTGAGCATGAAAATTCTCTGAGAATTTCGAGAACTCTTAGAGGGTTTGGGACCAATATTTTTAATTCATTTTATCTGGATTTTAGCGGGTAGAGAGATGGTACCTGACATCTGGTTTACATTCCTCAGAGCATTTAATCCCTGGCCATAGACGGTATTATTCCCATTTTAAATTGTAAGAAACTGAAACTCAGAGATATTAGTTTGACTAAGTTCATATAGCTAGACAGTGTCTATAGAGTTACTGAGTGTCTGTTTAATAGGTAAGGAAAGGTAGTGTAAAAAGAGCTGTGTGTCTAATGCCATAGAGAAAAGGAAATAAAAAATTATTTAGAATAGATTTAGTTTCAAACACTCTTGCTGAAGTGGGTAGTCCAATAGGATGCAGCCATTTCTCAATTCACAACAAAATGACTCCTGAAAGCCGTTTTGGGAGAATAGGCTATGTCTCTTGATCTCAGCATCCTCAGAACTGGCCCCTTTATCAGGAAGAAAATAATTCAAAATGGGTTGTTCAATGACAAAGGACACAGGCATGTTTAGCAAAAAGAGAGGCTTAAGGCATACGACAGTGGTCTTCAATTACCCGATTAAACATTTGCTGAAAATGTACGGCTGCGGGAAACATTACCAGGGGCTGTGGACACGTGAGGGCGGAGTTCCTGTTCCTGGGATACAACATCTGGAAGGGGAGGGGAGGGAAACATGCTGAACTGCAAGCTGAGGCTGTGTGCTATGCCCGTGCCAAGTGTGCAAGCGCAGAGATGCTGTGGCTCAGAGGAGGAAGAGACCTCCTGGCAAAGGGCAGCAGAATTCAGAGACAAACTTACATCCTAGACTGGGTTTAGTTAGAAACCAGAGGGAGAGTATAGTATCTTAGACAAAGGTATTGAAGTTAGAGGTGTCAGACAGGTTATACTGTCTTGGCAGAGAACTGGGGATGAAAAAGACAGAGTGATTTTAAACTCTAGGGTAAAACTTACAGTTTGTATTCGAGTTTCTGGGAAAACTTGAGCAAGAGTGGGACAGGATCACAATAGTATTCAGGGAAAATTAAGGTGTCAGAAGGTTTAAGAGTGGAGGTAAACAGAAGCTGGGGAGACCAGTCAGTGAATGTTATTATTCAGGCGTGATGATGAGGGTGGGACCAGGAAGGTTCCAGTGTAAAACATTGTGAAGGCTTTGGTCTCTGACTAGTTGGGGTCAGGGTGAGGTGGGCTGGCTAGGAGGCGTGTAACAAATATTCAGAAAGGAAAAACATAAAACAACAATTCAGGCTAAATATGGCTTATGCAAATGTTCCATTTTCAAAAGATCTTGTAGGAAAGTCCCTCCTTTGTTATATTTCCTCTGCATGAACTTAGCTTTTTAATTCTTAATATAGGAGTGAGTCAAGGATGTGTCCAAATTGCCTGTGGATTCACGAAGACCAATAGAGGGGACTGGGAATAGGAAAAGTCCCACATCTAAGGCTCTTAAAAATGTGGATTTGAATCAGTTCTGACCCGTTAAAAGAAAACAGAATTTAGTTTTAGAAATGCAGTTTTGACCAAGATCCTAATGCAGACTGGCTGACCCTGTCACAATGTGCCAGGAAGTCTCCTAAAATGCCTCTTCATTGGGCTCACTTTGACTGTATAATCAGCTTCATGTGGATTTGGAGTAAACAGGCAGAATGTATAGTTGATGATGCATAGACTTGCACAATTGTAATTACTTCTGGAGCATTATATGAACATTCTAGAGAAATTACTATCTCTTTAGAAAGCATAAACCCATAGCATTGGTATCCAAACTTTTCTATTATGAGGAACACTCATTAAAGTTAAAAAATGTTACAGGAGAAAAGTCATATTTTACTACCCAATAATTGAGAAAAATAGAGATGTGCATATAGATTAAAATCAAAAAAATTCCTTGTTCTGAGAAAAGTTAAAGCCCAGAGATTTAAAACCACTGTTTGTTCCTATACCCAGCAATATCTTTAAAGATCTTTTATCTTCAATAGAATGTACATTCACCTGCAATTCACATGCCAAAATACCTACAAGTAACTCAGGGCCTTCTTCTCTTGTACTATAATGGGAGGAGGCAGACTAGATAACATCTAGAGTTTTTTCTAGCTTTAATTCTTTTTTTTTTTTTTTTTTTTTTGAGATG